AAGTCAATATTTTATGATATAAAATCTTCCAAAGAAACTATCCTCTTACGTTCACACTGTCACAATGAACAAGGAAATAAAAACATGATTTTCGTGAAACCTGGACTGAAATTGAAAAAGCTATTGAAAAGGTTGTCAGTTTTATGGAAAGAAAGCGAGCATTCAGCTATGAAGACTGCAATAACGCACACAGACTTAAAAAATTTCCAGAACAAAACGAAATGCGGAAAATTAGAGAAATGACATTAGAAAAGAAAAAAATCCTTATGCAAAGCGATTAAAATTCCTCGTTACATTATTTGTTTTGCATACGTAGCATACTTAATTTAATACATTTTCATTAACGATACATAATTTATTTCTTTTTCCTTCAAATCAATTCCGTTATATTTCACTCACCATTAGCTTATTTTGTTTACTATAAAACATTCAAAATAAATGTTAAACCTGATTTCAGTTCTTTTATTTTAATCTAAATATAACCCCTCATATACGGACTTTATAACCAATTCCTCATATCCGGAAGGCCTTTTTAGTCCGGTTGTCAGGGGTTCTACTGCATAACCCCACAAATCCGGACCTTGTAACCAATTCCTCATACCCGGAAGGCCTTCTTAGTCTAGTTGTCAGGGATTCCACTGTATAAACCCTCAAATCCGGACTTTGTAACCAATTCCTTATATCCGGAAGGCCTTCTTATTCCGGTTGTCAGGGTTTCTACTGCATAACACCTCATATCCGGACTTTGTAACCAATTCCTCATATCCGGAAGGCCTTTTTAGTCCGGTCGTTAGGGATTCTACTGTACCAAGTTTATATTAAATTATGCAGACATTAACTAAAAAGAAATACTAAATTAGTTTTTAGTAAAATACGGGACGATTTTACCGTATATTCACTGTAAAAAAATGTACGACAAACCCTGCAAATTAAAGACACACGATATAACGAAAAGGAGGGAGAACAAATATTTTCTCAAAGTGTTTTTGATAAAATAACCTATTTAGTAAAATAAATAATTAATTAATTAGTAAGTACTGAAAATTTTGTTTGAATCGGATAATTTCTTGATTTTTGGCAAATATTATAAAACAAGTGGTAGCAATTTTTTCCCTTCATTTTAGAAAAATGCATCCATTTTGATACGACGTAATATATATAAAGACATGCTGACATGAAGCATTTCATCAAGTTTGTCCCTCTTTTTTTTCACTAATTGGCTGATACATAACGGAAAATGATGAATCAGCAAATTTGATATGATTCAGCCAGAATATCTTAACCAAAACAATAAAATTAATAAAAAATAAAAATAGACTTCAAGATTAAATCTCACGTTTTTCTTTCGAGATGTCAATAAAATACCATGCCCCCAAAATTAGCACACTAAAAAAGTAGCAACAGAAAAATGTTACAAATAAAATTAAAAACCCCAAGATATTTAAGTTTGGAGCAGAAAATTTTCCTTTTTAAATAATGGAGAAAGAAAGAAAGAAAGAAAGAAAGAATGAATGAATGAATGAATGAATGAAAATATGCTCAGTTGGCTGGAAGTAAGGAGGGGATCTACCTGATAGCTAGAAAGAAAGAAAGAAAGAAAGAAAGAAAGAAAGAAAGAAAGATAGAAAGAAAGAAGCAAGGAAGGAATGATTGAATGAATGAAAATAAGAAAGAAAGAAAATAATAACATTTTTTTTAAAAAAACGAAAAAGAAAACAAAAACAGACAATAAATTCCTCTCCTCACACTTTTTTCAGGTTATAAGTCATAGAATTACTGTCGTAAAAGGTTTTGTAGATAACCCCCATATATTCGATTTTCGCAGTCGAATTTTTACGAGGATGTTTCCTTTAATTTTTTTCCTTCCTTCTAAATCTTCATCTCATTCTCACATGCGACCAAAAATAAGATCGCGTCTCCCCGCTGCCCCTATTCTGTCTGCGCCCCCCACCACACACACACACACCCTAAGCAAAAATAAAACGTGACAAAAATTTCTTCTTATCGGATTTATCTATGACAAGTTAAGTTCAAGTGAGGGTGACTGCAAAACTGATAAGTCGCCATAAATTGATTGATATCTGTCTTCGGCACAGTGACTGCCCTGTATAAATGTAGAGCTGCATATATATATATATATATATATATATATATATATATATATATATATATATATATATATATATATATACGTAGATAGACGTGAATACGCTCAGTATGTACTGATACATAAATAAATATACAAGAACGGATAGATAGATAGATAGATAGATTGTCATAAAATAGATACATTGCCATAAAATAAATAGATAGATACATTGCCATAAAATAGATAGATTACCATAAAATAGATAGATAGATAGATAGATTGCCATAGAATAGATAGATAGATAGATTGCCATAGAATAGATAGATAGATAGATAGATTGTCATAAAATAGATAGATAGATAGATTGTCATAAAATAGATACATTGCCATAAAATAAATAGATAGATACATTGCCATAAAATAGATAGATTACCATAAAATAAATAGATAGATAGATTGCATAGAATAGATAGATAAAATAGATAGATAGATTGTCATAAAATAGATACATTGCCATAAAATAAATAGATAGATTGCCATAAAATAAAATAGATAGATTGCCATAAAATAGATAGATAGATACATTGACATAAAATAGATAGATTTTCCATAAAATAGATAGATAAAACATAAAATAGATAGATAGATAGATAGATAGATAGATAGATAGATAGATAGATAGATAGATAGATTGCCATAAAAAAGATAGATTGCCATAAAATAGATAGATAGTTACATTGCCATAAAATAGATAGATTGCCATAAAATAGATAGATAGATAGATAGATAGATAGATTGCCATAATAATAGATAGATTGCCATAAAATAGATAGATAGATAGATAGATAGATAGATAGATAGATAGATAAACCTAAATAAAAACTTACTTTCTCTTAACACCAGTACAAGATATTACCTTAAAAACGAGCATTTGAATTGTTGGCCAAGTCATTATTTTGGTCTTTTGATTTAGACAGTTTCTCCATCGACGTTTTATATTTCTTTACATCTGAAGAAGTCTCTTTGTGGGTTTGGTCAAAACGTGTAACAGGGTGATTATATTCGATTACAAAGCAAAAAAAATATGATAATATTCAATTGCTTTTTATATACATACATACAAATATATATATATATATATATATATATATATATATATATATATATATATATATATATATATATATATATATATATATATATGAGTGTGTGTGTGTGTGCATGTGTGTGTGTGTGTAAATATATGCGTGTTATGTCCATATATAAATTAAATTAAATAGCTTGCCATTTGTATTCGAGGATACCCGTCTAATAGGGCGGCTAGCCGATCCCTATTGCAGACACCCGTTCAGGCACATTTGTCTTTTTTCAACATCGACACATCCCACCTGTGCTTTATACTGCAACTATACTGAGCAGACTTTAATTACAGTTTCTGGAAGAGAGAGTGTTATCTAGCTTCATCAACAGTCTGAACAAGACCAGCACGCTCAAGCACTCGGTCACGATGACTTGTAAATTCGTGCTAGCACAGCAATCGACGGCTCCCATAGCTTCCGTCTATACAGTTTCTCTCACAAGGCTTGGGTCAACCCGTGGCTTGATTTTCAGGCACATTCCAAACGTGCCGCACGCTGGGACCGTCCCTCTCCAGACCGATAACATCAGGAAGTCCCCTTCCTGACAAATCAACCGTGGTGGGATTCGAACCCGTATCTCATGATCAGAAAGCGAAGGTTCTAAGGTTATACATATATATAAATGTGCGTGTATATACATATATATGTGTGTGTATACATATGTGTGTGTGTGTGTGCATACATATATGTGTGCGTATATTTCTCTCTTCCTCGTTTAAATAACACGGTAGAATTGACTCTATAGCTCTGGGCGACAACCAGTCAAAAACAAAGACTATTTCGAACGCAAAAACGTTAAGAAGGCAACGGGAAACCACTTCCATGTCTTTCCCAAGACGTCATGACATTTCACAAATAAAGGAACGAAATCTATACTGAGCTATGTTCACCTACGTCCTGAACAGACACGGAATTTAAAAAGAAAATCCTCATCAAACACTAAATACATTCGAACCTAAAGACCTTGATGAGATTTAACATAATAAATATATTTATACATTATTTACATTATTCGGACTATTGTCCGCATCTTTGTCGCCATATTTATTACAACGTTTCGGCCGTTGTACGCTCCGGCCTTCTTCAGGTGGTTGGAATGTCGAACTGAACCCTTTATTTCGCTCACTGGGGTAGACTGTTCTAGTTCCACTTACCATGTTTAATAGATGTCAGTGTCCTGAAGGTGAATAAAGGCGTTGATTAGATCCAGTGACAGGACCCAAAGAGTGTGAGTTCAATACCCAGTTAAGGCAGTGGAGAACTTTCAGAGGGTAATTAACAGGAGATAACTGATAACTGACATCTATTAAACGTGGCACGTGGAACTAGAACAGTCTACCCCAGTGAGCAAAATAAAGGATTCAGTTAGACATTCCAACTACCTGAAGAAGGCCGGAGCGTACAACGGCCGAAACGTTGTAATAAATATGGCGACAAATATCAGGACAATAGTCCGAATAATGTAAATAGTGTACATAATACCTCATCTCAGAAATATAGACAGATACTGAAGGGCCGAAACGTTGTAATAAATATGGCGACAAAGATGAGGACACTAGTCCGAATAATATAAATAGTTCATAATACCTCATCTCAGAAATATAGACAGATACTGAAAGGCCGAAACGTTGTAATAAATATGGCGACAAAGATGAGGACAATAGTTCGAATAATGTAAATAGTGTACATAATACATAATCTCAGAAATATAGACAGATACTGAAAGGCCGAAACGTTGTAATAAATATGGCAAAAAAGATGAGGACAATAGTCCGAATAATGTAAATAATGTACATAATACCTCATCTCAGAAATATAGACAAATATATTTATAAATTGTCATCTGAAAAAGTAACCAGAAAAGAATGTAGTACGGACTTTAGTCATAAATGTTTAGGAGCAGTATCTTTTTATTTATTTATTCTTTTGTCCTTGCATATGTCATAGAAAAGATCGAATGAGGTAGTGAAAACTAGATGTTTGATTTGTGTGTGTGTGTGTGTGTGTGTGTGTGATAATGCAGTAAATTTCTCAACATTTTGTCTTTTTTTTTTAATCACGTGACCCGTAGGATCGTAGGAGCCCCACGTGTACTGTAGCCGCAGTAGAAGGGGTGTTTCTTGGGCAAGATAACCTGACGGAGCCCAACCCTCTCCAGGCCAACATTTTGTGTTGCTCTTTGTCAAGTACGGATTTAATCGCCAGAATATACAGCATAATCAAGTATCGTTTTTCTTTTCTTTTCTTTTCTTGGTAGCAAAAGAAGGACTTGGAGAATTTGACCCTCACAGGGTATCTAGAAGTCAAGAGAGATAAGGAAAGGCGGAAAGCCTGGTGAACTTTTGTAAGTAGGAAGATGTGGAGAGTCGTGATCGCCCAAGTTCTGAAAAGACCCGGCACAAAAAAAAAAAACAAAAAAAAAACGAGAAAGTACTAGAAACCTTCGACTTCATATCTCTCAGTCCTGTGACCTAACCATTAAGCTATCGTTAAGTAACGGAAACCCAACTAGGACAAGGCGGGAGAAAGAGGCTGATACAAAGACGGGGTTGATGTCGAAGACGCGTAATTAAGACCTGTCACAGGGAGACAGAAGGAAGCGATATAGAGAGCGGTATTAGCTAGCGAAACATAAACCAAGAGAGGCGGGTATGTTATAAGTTCATCCGGGTCAGACGTGTAACGATAACAAGTAAATAAAAGAAAGCCTTCGGTGGGAAGGGGTGGCGTCTGTTAGGAAGCGTGCATTATCATCGAAGTGACAACCTGGCGAGAAATTATGTGATGTTATCAGCAGAAACCACAAATTGTGTAATCTTTAGTAAATATGTGTAACTATCGATTTTGTTAAGCAGTGAGAAAAATACGGCGACCCACAACGCTTGGCCCCTCCAGGGGTTTACTTGGAAATGTACGTTCTCTATTACACGAAATAGTAATTAACTCGTAAATGCACCGTTACTGACATAGAATGTTTCCGTCATTGACTAAGGATGGTTCCCAACCTTAGAGCGAGGGTTAGAGTCTTCATTGCCAACGCCATAATTTCTAAGTCCGCTTTCTCAGAACGAAAATCGAAGAGACGATTTCGAATTCCAGTCAGTTTTTTTTTTACATTCACTTACTGGTGATACTCTTTAGAAAGGTAAGAATACGTCTATATTTCCGAGAGGTCAGGCCAGGGAGAGTGTTGGGCTTCTTAGACGTGATTAAGGGATCCAATTCGAAGTAGTAAAACTAATCTGTCTATATTTCTGAGATGAGGTATAATGTACACAATCTACATTGTTCGCACTATTGTCCTCATCTTTGTCGACATATTTATTACGACGTTTCGGCCTTTCAGTATCTGTCTATATTTTTGAGATGAGGTATCGTCGACACTATTTACATTATTCGGACTATTGTCCTCATCTTTTTTGCCATATGTATTACAACGTTTCGGCCTTTCAGTATCTGTCTACCTTTCTGAGATAAGGTATTATGTACATTATTTACATTATTCGGACTATTGTCCTCATCTTTTTTGCCATATTTATTACAACGTTTCGGCCTTTCAGTATCTGTCTATATTTCTGAGATAAGGTATTATGTACATTATTTACATTATTTGGACTATTGTCCTCATCTTTGTCGCCATATTTATTACAACGTTTCAGCCCTTCAGTATCTGTCTATATTTCTGAGATAAGGTATTATGTACATTATTTACATTATTCAGACTATTGTCCTCATCTTTTTCGCCATATTTATTACAACGTTTCAGCCCTTCGGTATCTGTTATACGCTCCGAGATGAGGTATTCAGGTGGTTGACTATTGTCCTCACTGGCCATTTTATTTCGCTCACTTCAGGTATTGTTCTAGTTACATTTCGCCATGTCTAATGGATGTCTAATGGATGTCAGTTGTCAGTTATCTCCTGCTTAATTTCCTCTCCAAGTTCTCCACTGCCTTAACCAGGTATTGAACTCACACATTTGGTTCCTGTCACTGGATGTAACTAACGCCTTTATCCACCGTTTTATGTGTCCTTATACAAGAAAGCTGGAAGACCTCATTAGCAATGGTAGCTACATCAAAGTAAAATCGGATGCTACAATGAAAACGGAACGCAAACTGTCACAGATAATTTGTTCTCAAGGACACATGGCACAGTGAATAAAGGCATTGGTTAGATCCAGTGACAGGACGCAAAGAGTGTGAGTTCAATACCCGTTTAAGGCAGTAGAGAACTTAAGGGAATTAACAGGAGATAACTGATAACTGACAT